CTTTGCATAAGTGAAACTGAATATCATCCTTTTTATTTAACAGCAGTCTATATTTAACAGAAAACATTCCAAGCCTGGGAACTTTCGACCTGTGAGACTGATATCAGTGGTGAGTAGCTGTTGGATGGTATTCTGAGAAATGGGATTTACATGCATTTGAAGAGGCAAAGATTGATTAGGGATAGTCAAAATGGCTTTATGCATGGGAAATTGTGTCTCTCAAACTAGATTTAACTTTTTTTTAATGGACGGAACATAAAAGATTAATGAAGGCAGAGCAGTAGAAGTTGTCTACAGATACCTGAGTAAAACCTTTGACATGATAGACGAATTAGTAATGTTGGAGCATATGGGATTCAGGCAAAGTTTGCCAATTAGATGTAAAATTGGCTTGACAGTAGGAGACAGAGGGTGGTGGTGGAGTGTTGTTTTTTTTCAGATGGGTTGACTGTGACCAGCAGTGTTCCATAGGGATCGGTGCTGGGTCCACTTTTACTTGTCATTTATATAAACTGATGAGAACTTTGGGGACATGGTTAGTAAGTTTATCGATGACACCAAAATTGGTGGTGGAGTCGATAGTGAATAATGTTATTTAAAACTACGAAGGGATTTTGACCAATTGGGCCAATGAACTGAGAAGCAGATGGGTTTAATTTGCATAAATCTGAGGTATTGTATTTTGGTAAAACAAGCAAGGGCAGGAATTATAAAGTTAATGGTAGAGCCCCATGTAGTGTTGTAGAATAGAGAGACCTAGGGGTTTAGGTACATAGTTCTTTCAAAGTAACATCAAGGGTCGTCAGGGTAGTTAAGAAGACATTTATCATGCTTGCCTTCATTTCTCAGACCATTCAGCGTAGGAGTTACGATATTGTGCTGAGATTGTGCAGGACGTTAGTGAGGCCACTTTTGAAGTATGGTGTACAGTTCTGGTCGCCCTGCTACAAAATAGGTATAATTAAATTGAATTGGTAAATTGGAAAAGATTTACCAGGATGTTGGTGGGACTGGGGAGTTTGAGTTGTAATCATAGGATGGATAGGCTGGAACTTTTTTTCACTGGAGTGTAGGAGGTTGAGGAGTGATCTTATAGATGTTTATAAAATCCCAAGGGGCATAGATGAGGTAAATAGTAAAGGCCTTTTTCCTAGGATAAAGGAGCTCAAAACCATGGGACATATTTTGTTTTAAGATGAGAGGAGAAACAGGCAACCTTTTCAGAAAGTAAGTGGTTCATGTATGGAATCAACTGCCAGACGAACTGATGGATGCAGGCACAGTTACAACATTTATAAAACAGTTAAATAGTTACATGAATAGGGGAGATTGAGAGGAATATGGGCCAAACGCAGGCAAGTAGGAAAAATTTAGTTAGGTAAACCTGGTCGCCTTGAACGAGTTTTCCAGAGGTTCTGTTTCTGTGCTGTATGACACTATGACTATATGAATCTAAGTGCCTGAAGAGAACACTTTTGAGATTGTGATATATCCCTGCCAATTGATTAAATACAGGAATCCATGTAGGAATACATGGGATACATAACTTCTAAAGGAGGTTAACCACTTTCCTGTGGAAATGTGAGACATAGTAAACTCCCACCATTGACCCAATCTTCACTTGTTCCTTGTAGAACGGTAGTGGATGTAGAGTGAAGCCATTAATAACTTTTTATTTGGCACTAGTGGATTCACAATTCAGCATTACTTTATTTTACAACCTGACCTGCAAATACTAGAGCCATAGAATTCAATGGATAGCTGGATTAAATTATTCATATATAACTTAGTAAATGCCTGGAAAATTAAAAGTATTTGATTATATTATTATTATTATTATTATTATTATTGCTGTTATTGTTGTTATTGTTGTTGTTGTTGTTACTATTATTATTATTTAGCCCTGTGATGTAGGCATCACTGCTGAGCCAACTTTTATTGGCTATTACTTGTTGCCGTTGAGAAGCTAATGGTGAGCATGTCTTCTTGAGCAGCTGCAGTCTATATGCTATGAGTAGTTCAAAAGTACCATTAGGGAGGGAATTCTAGGACTTTAACCTAGCGACACAGAAGGAGTGGCTTTATGTTTCAAATCAGGATGGTGTGTGGCTTTCAGGGACTCATTAGGTAGTAATGTTCCCAATGACCTGCTAACTTTGCCCTAAGTGATAGTGGTCATGGACTTGGAAGGTGCTGTCTAAACATGTTTGGTGAATTTCCTCGATGCTTCTTGTAGATAGTACATGCTGCTCTATTGAGTATTGTGGTAAGTGGGATGGATGTTTGTAGCTATGGTGCCAATAAACCTGGCTGCTTTGTCCTGGATGATGTCAAGCTTCTTGTGGGCTGTGAGAGTTGTACTCATCCATGCATGTGGGGAGTATTACATCACACTCCAAAGCTCGAGTTGAGTTACTCATCACAGAATTCCTCATTTTTGATGTGTTGTTGTAGGCATAGTATTTATACTGTCAATGTTAACACACAGAACTTTGATGGTAGGGTAATTTTTAATGGCAATAATTTTGATCATCTAGAGTCAGATAATCATAGATATCTAGAGCACAAAGATCCTTTGACCTATCATGTCTGCGTTAGTCAAAAACAATCACCTAACTAATCTAACCCCATTTTCCAGCGCTTGTTCCATAAGCCTGAGCATTACAAGTGTGCATCTAAATACTTCTTAAATATTATGAAGGTTTCTGCTTGTTTCACTCTTACAGATAGTGAGTTCCAGATTCCTACTACCTTCTGCATGTAAATGTTTTTCCTTCCACCTTCTCTAAACTTTCTTCCCCTGACCGTAAGTCTCTGTAAACTGGTCATTGATCCTTCCATCAGATGGAAAGTTTCTTCCTGTCTAGTTTATGGATACCCCTCATAATTTCACAAATCTCAATCATGTCCCCACTTGTCTTCTTGAGCCGCTGCAGTCCATATGCTATGAGTAGATCAAAAATACCATTAGGGAGGGAATTCCAGGACTTTAACCTAGCGACACAGAAGGAGTGGCTTTATGTTTCAAATCAGGATGGTGTGTGGCTTTCAGGGACTCATCAGGTAGTAATGTTCCCAATGACCTGCTAACTTTGCCCTAAGTGATAGTGGTCATGGATTCTTCTCCAAGGATAACAACTGCACTCTGTCCAATAGGGGTATGATTATTTTCTACTTGTTGTAGATTGCAATTGGCTGATGTGCGTGTGTCCAGAATCTCCTTGCCACTAATTATCCACAGTCTCGTTGTATTCCAGATCTCGCTATATATTGACATGGACTGTTTCAGTATCCAACGTGTCACCAATGTTGCTGAACATTGTGCAATCATCAAAAAACATCTCAATCTGTGGCCTTACATTGGATAAGTGGCAAATAGTGAGGATGACATCAATCGCCTGAAAATGTACATAGAAGACCAAGCATGCAGTAGCTGACACTTACCACAGATAAATATGAAGTGATGCATTTTGGATTAATTAATAAGAATAGGGATGAATAAGTCATTGCAAAATTCCAAGGGTTGTGTAGGAACGGGGTTGGAGAAGGGGGTTGCTTGGAGTGCATAATTATCAAATTTTGAAGGAAGCAAACCACTTTATGCGAAGTATACGAGATCCCCTGTTCGTGCATTGCATCCAGATCGGATCGTCACATTTAGTAAACATTTGAACGTCCATAATAACAGAAAATATTTCGCAAAAGGACCTGCTGATGCAGGGTTTTGGCTACAAAACCGAATTGGAAATGCTGTGTCTTGTTTCTATGATGTACTTGAGATTGTAGAGAAATGCAATTCAGGTATGTGCAATAATGACAGACAATAACACAATATTCATACTTGCTGATTGTACAAAGGACATGGAACATGAGTAGATTAAAAAAAATGAGGGAATGGATTCAGGGGAATGTAAGAATGCAATGTGTGGTACTTGCATGAAGTACAAGAGGTTGAACAACAGTTCAAGAACAGTACAGATTGGATTGTTTAAATGACCTTTTTGCAATGCTATAGTTGGCCAATTTACCCTGGTTGAGGAAGCACGACTGTGCATTAACTTCAGTTAATGACCACAGGAATTAACTCCATCATAACATGCTACTACATTATGTGTAGCAGAATCCAAAGTGAAAACTTACAATTATTTGAACTTCTACTTTAAAAATCAAAGTTTCTTTCGCCTGTCCCACCTTAAATTCAATGAAATCACGACGACCTGCAAACAACCACTGTGTGATATTGACAGAGAAAAGTACTGACGAATGCTGATGCAGAAAATTGTCTCTCACTCTAGCAGCTATCAAGGTCTTCATAAATGTTTAGCATCATTTCCTTGCATTCTGGACTCATTACCAATATTGATGAAGCCCTCGATCACATTTGTCTTGTTCATATTTTTTCCAACATTCCTCGAAGTTCTGCTTTTCAGATCAAAGGTTTAAGTGTCGAAGTAGCTTAGATAAAATAATATAGACAAGACCTTGTGGTGCAGGAGAGTCACACCATCTCTGGACAGCAAATACCGCTTTAATTCATAGCCTGGAACGTTGGCTAGGAAAAGTGTATTTCTAACGCGGTTCAAAACAGACCGAAACACAGTCCTGGTATTTTTCTCTCACTTCCCAACTATTTTTTTTTCCCTCGATGGAAAAGCGTTCGTCTGAATACCCTCGAATATTAAACTACACGCTCGTGAACACAAATTAAACTTATTTCTTAAAAGAATGCTTCAAATACTTTTTTTTAAATAATTCAATGCATATTACTTTGGTCTCTGATAAATGACGTTGAATAATTCTAGATTGTCAGCTACCTTGCTCTTTCACAGCTATTTTGTTTTTAATGGTATATGGTCCATATGGTGTCACACCGGAAAGGATTCCGGGCAGACCCGATCGAGCTCATGATCGAAACGTTTCAGTAAACATATCTAGTCAATGACCCTGCAGTGTCATTGTTTGTTTACTAGATTTTATTAATGGGACTTAGAAAATTTGTTTCACATTGACTCCTGTCTATTTACCGCCGCCACAAGCCTACTAAGTGTATTAGCACAATATTTCATCGCTTTCCTCAGCTCCTCCCTGTACCTTGCCTGTGTAAGAGCGTACATGCAGGTGCTTGAACTGCAGTTCAGAACCCTGAGCATGCGCGAGCATTCATTGACAATCGCAAATGTGTCATTAAAGTCCCGGTAAAAGTAGGTGTTCGTGATTCGCGAAAACAGAAAGAGACCAACTGTGGCCATCCAAAGGGAGATGAAACTTGCTGAGGCAACAAAAAGTAACATCAATGCTCTCCTCCGACTTTGCATCTCAGGGTCTTCCACTTCTCCTCCACTTCCCCGAAATCCCCGCCTGATCTGACTAGCCACCAGTACGTGTCTAATTGTCAGGAGGTTGAGCAGAGCCACGCAGACGTAGGGAACCAAGGGAGTTAAAATAGTGTGGAGCCAATAGAAGGCTCTCCAAGCCGGAGATGTGTAAATGTTGGGATTTGTCTTACAGCCAAACTGCATGTTGTTTTGCTCATGGTGGGGTAGAATTGCAAAATAATAGGGAAGGTTCCTGGAGTAGGTCAGCAGGTAAACTATCGTAATTATCAACGCTGCGCACTTCGGAGAGCAGTATGTCCTTCTGAATCGCTGGAAGCAGATGATGACAAATCGGTCGAAGGTGAAGGACACTGTTAGCCACACGGAGCAGTCAATCACAGCCGCGATCATTATCGAGATCAGACGGCACACGAAGGTGTACAGGTAAAAGACGTGCTGGAAACGGGGGAGGATGATGCGGTAGACCAGAACGTAGAATATAAGGACCAGCAGATCAGCCATGGACATGGACATGAGGTAAATTCTAGTACTCTGAGACAGACCGCAGCCTCTCAGCTGGAGCGTCAGAAATGTGGCCACGTTCGCTAGAGGGAAGAGAAGGTAAAGAAGATTAGAAATAAGAATCACGGGTGCTGTGCTAACATCAAAGTCTGTTAGATCGCTCAATGCATCACACATTCCTTCTACTTGCAACTCCTCACATAACTGTGACTTTCCAATTCTCCATCACAGTCCAACATTGAGACCTAGCCCTCAGCTGCCGGGAATCTAAGATCCTGGATTGACGGAAACGTAAAAAACATCGATTCATAGAATCCCTACAGTGTCGAAGCAGGCCATTCAACCCATCGATTCCAGGTCGACTCTCCCAAGAACATCCCGTCTAGACCCACACCCACGAACCTACCCTTGGAACCCTGCATTTCCAATGGCTAATCCACCTAGCCCGCATATTGCTGGACTTTGTAGGCAATTTAACATGGCATACCCACCTAGGCCGCAGATCTTTGGATTGTGGGACCAACAGTTGACAATTCCGCACTGCATGTAGGTTCTTCTAGATTTCTATGAGATTCACAACCTCCCCCTCCACCATTCTTCTAAACTGCAGTAAATATAGTCCTAACCAACTAAGTTTACACCATCCCAGCAATCAGACTGATAAACATTCGTTGCACTATCGCCATAGCCAAGACATCCTTCCCTGACTAGGAAATCAAAATTGCACCTTATACTGCAAGCATGGAATCACCAAGACCTTGGACAATTGCAGCAAACATACCTGTCACTGTACTCGAGTCCCTTGTTATAAAGACCAGTATCCTTGCCTACTTAACTGCCGGCTGCATCTACGTGTTCATTTTCAGCGGCTGGTTTACAAGGGCACCCAGGTCTGTTTGCACTTCCCCTTCTCTCAATCTATCACAATGCAGACAATAATTTGCTTTCCTGTTGTTGATGTCAAAACAGACAACGTCACATATATCCACACTATACTTCACCCGACACGCATTTACCAATTTAAGTATCTTGTCAAAATCACACTGAAGCATCATTGCATCCTGTTTACAGTTCACCTTCCCATCCAGCGTTGTATCGTCTGCAAACTTGGAGATGTTACAGAGATAGTAGGAACTGCAGATGCTGGAGAATCCGAGACAACAAGGTGCAGGGCTGGATGAACACAGCAGGCCAAGCAGCATCATAGGAGCAGAGAGGCTGACGTTTCGGGCCTAGACCCTTCATCAGAAAAGGGGGAGGGGAAGGGGGTTTTGAAATAAATAGGGAGAGAGTGGGAGGCGGATAGAAGAGGGATAGAGGAGAGGATAGGTGGAGAGGAAACAAACAGGTCGAAGAGGCGGGGATGGGGCCAGGAAAGGTGAGTGTAGGTAGGGAGTTAGGAAGGGGATAGGTCAGTCCAGGGAGGACGGACAGGTCAAGGGGGCGGGATGAGGTTGGTCGGTAGGAGATGGAGGTGCGGCTTG